GTTTACATCTTACTGGCAGAGGCAGGCATATTCAAAGTGCTCTATTCACACAGCTCATGTCTATATGGGTCTAAGAATAGTTGTTCTACCTGGAGCCAGAGGGTGGTGGATCTAGAAACTTTCCAAGAGACAATGTGAAGTGAGTCTTCAAGTTCAAGCAGTTTTCTAGGCAAAGGTGGGCAAAGTCTGGGTAAGAGACAAGGAGACATGTGAGGCTGGAGACACTAACTGTGTCTTTGCAGGTTTCCTAATTCCACCTTCCCGTGAGGCATGCGGCTTCTTCTTCACATCTAAACAAGCAGCTGAGCATCGCCAGGGTTTATCTTCAACTTAGAGTTACAATACAAGACAGAACTCTGAATCTGGAGTTAGAACATGTAAGTGCGAGTCATGGCTTTGCCTTGCCCAGCTGTGTGCCCGCCTTTCACTTTGCCTTGTCCACAAGTGACTTTGTCCTCTGTGACCTTAGGCAAACCATCAAGGCCCTCTGAGCCTGAGTGCCCCGTCTGTAAAGTGAGGGTGGTAACATCTTCCTCAGAGGATGATTTTTAGGATTAAGTAAAATAATGTTGGGAAAATGGTCTAAAATTCTACATGCTCAAATAAATGCTATTTTCCTCCTTCCTGAGAGGTAAGGCAGCTTAGTCTGATAGACCATCACTGGGGCAAAGTCTCTTCCTGCTCGGGGTGGCACAATGTTACCTATTACTTTTATGGGTATTAAAGGCATCCCATCTTACCAGAAATTAAACTTGTTTGTTTTCTCATATCTGTTTTCTTCCTCATTCTTCCCTCCCACTATGCTCACAAGTAAACATGCAGAAAGATTCAGTTTGGTCCTTTCACACACACATCTGTGCCTCTCAACTTGGCCAATTTGAAGTTCCATACTACTAAAAATAAGGGGTCTCTCAGTCATGGTGGTCCTCATAAATGCACATTCCAGACCCCAAGGGGCTACCGTCACTCTCCTTCATCCTGACTTTCTGGAAACAGAGCCAGCACCCCCCACCATGGCTCCCATGACTACTCCCATCATGCTTCTGACAGTCCATTTTCCAGAGCAACACCATTCTAAGGTCTGTAGGAACTTCCTGTTGAGAGTTTTAGCATTATGGGTTTGGGGCAAGAGAAAGCCTAGGTTCAAGTCCTGGCTCTGCCTTTTACCCTCAAAGTTGCAGAGTCTTCTTCTACGTGTGCAATACTGATAGTTCTGATCTCTTAGAGATGTTCTGAGCATGAAAGAAGATACTTGTAAATTACTTAGCACCGTGCAGGATTACTATTTACTGGTTTGAAAGGGAAGGATTAGGAATAAAAAGAAGCAAACATTATTTAGCAAGCTAGCAGAGGAAATGGTGAAATCAGCATTTCCAAACTCTCCCAAGATTTTCAGTGATTGGGATACCAGGGCAAATCCACAGTAAACAGTGATTTGGTAAGAGGCTGCTGATAAAAGAGCCACTCCCCAAAGCTATCTTTGTCAGAAAGCTTGAAATTCCTAGAGAGCCTTTGTCTCTTGACAGACATTAACTTTCTAGGAGTTCTCTGATAAAATAGAGAGGTAATGAGTTAAATTATTAACAATTTTTGCTCAAAATATTTAACATCACATTAGGACTTAAGGGATGAACCACAGGACAGGTAAATTTTGACAGGGAAAGTGGAGTTGAATGTATTTAGTGTGCTTAGTCGCTCAGTTGTGTCCGACTGTGACTCCATGGACTGTATCCCACCAGGCTCCTCGGTCTGTGGAATTTCCCAGGCAAGAATACTGGAGTGGGTAGCCATTCCCTTCTCCAGAGGATCTCCCTGACCCAGCGATTGAACCCAGGTCTCCCGCATTGCTGACAGATTCTTTACTGTCTGAGGCACCAGGGAAGCTCTTAAAAGACAAGTCCACATCCTGGAAACTGTGAGTGTGACTTTATTTGGAAAAAGCATCCCTGCAAATGTAATCCAGTTAAGGATTTAGAGACGAGATCATCAGGATTATCTAGGTGGGCCTCAATTCAAGGCCAAGCATCCCTATAAGAGACACAGAGGAAGACAGCCCTGTGAAGCTGGAGCTGTGCTTGCCTCCACCAGTAGGATGTGAACTCACCAGGGACTGGGTCCTGTTCATTGAGCTCACCAGCTGGGCCCAGTTTATGGAGGTTGGACACAGGCTCTCAGGCCTGAGGCTCCCAGTACCATCCACCAAGACTCTGAACCTAAGCAGCGCAATAAGCTAGGCTTTGGTTTCTTCCTTCCCCAGGTCAGGTGTTCAAGTGACTCATACATATTCCATTAACACGCCCCTGCCCAGACGCTGGTGCTGAGCTCCACTCTGCCCCACGGCCTCACTGAGGTCACCCTGCCCGTTGCCATGTGGTCTGTACCAGCCTCCCACACATCCCTGCTCTGCCCTGCTTTGTCTTATCTCTGCCCTGGTGACAGCTCTGCTGCTGGCCCTGCCACCTACTCTAGGGATGGACTGTAGTCTGCCAGGTTCCTCTGTCCATGGGATACTCCAGGCAAGAATACTAGAGTAGGTTCATATTTCCTTCTGTAGGGGATCTTCCCAACCCAGGTCTCCTGCATTGCAGGGAGACTCTTTATCATCTGAGCCACCCAGGAAAGTCACTCCAGTGAGGGGGAACCTGGAATCTTGTCCAAATCACTGATGCCCTAGGCCCTGTGTGGGCAAAACCATGGTCCCTCAAAGACTTTGGGTCCTAATCCCTAGAATCTACAAGTGTTACCTGGTAAGAGAAAAGGGGGTGGGGTGGGGTGGTGGTCTTGGCAGATGTGATTTAATGAAGGATCTTGAGTTGGCAAGATTATTCTGGACTATCCAAGTGGAACCTAATGGTATTGTAAGTGCCCCTATGAGAGAGAAGCAGAGAGATTTTATACACACACAGACATAGAAACAGATATACTGACACAGAAAGCCATGTGAAACCAGAGGCAAAGCTTAGAGTAATGCAGCCATAAAACAAGGAATGTTGACAGCCCCCAGACACCAGAAGAGCCAGGAGCAGATTTCCCTCTAGAGTTTCTGGAGGGAGTGTGTTCCCGCCAACTCTTTGATTTTGGCGGACTGATGTCAGTTCTGGACTTCTGGCCTCCAGAACCATGTGGTAATAACTTTCTGCTGTTTTAAGCCACCAACTTGGTCAGAATTCCTTATGGTAACCACAGGGCACTAAGGAAGCAGAGAGTGGAAGGTCTGAGGTGTGTCCCGTTGAAGATCTTGTACACCAGGGCTCCAAGGCAGATAGAGAAAGGTCCATTTCAGGTGCTGTGACTTCCGTCTGGCCGACCTCCCAGTCTTTCTCATTTTGCTGACTCACTGGCTTCTGCTGATTTGGTCAATGGCCAGGATTTCTGTAGTTCTTATTGTAGGTTTGCCGAACTCTGCTCCAGGCTTTGAGCACAAGGCAGTGTCTAAGGCAGAGGAGGGTCCCTCCCCTCAGAGTGTTCCAGTCCTGCTCTGATGGAAATGCACCAGCCCTCAGCCTGGGTCTTAGCCTCTGTTCTCGCTGTCACTCACTACTGGATTTAGCAGTGGGATCACAGAGTTCTGACCTTAACCTGTTCTTCTACTTGTATACACCTTTGGCTATTTCCTGGTCTCTGCTCTCTTCTGTCTACTCCTTTCATTTTCCAGGGTTGGCACTTGGCTCCTGCTGTATGCCTGGCACATTTGGGTCAACTGATGCTGACTGTTCCATTTATCCAGCACCCGTGGTGGATCCATCCACAATTTGTGATTCTATTTTCTGACCTGGTCTCTTAACATCCAGCTTTGTCTCCTGAGTATAACTTCACATTTGTTCTTAGATCTAACCACTGCCCTTGATCTCCTGGCTCTGATCCCAAATCAGAAAGATGTTAGTGATTTGCAGTTATCCACCTGCCCCACCAACCTGGATCTAGGACAGTGGAGGCACCTGGAGCAGGTTAAAGAAGGCTGTAGCAAATTGGACAAGATTTTGTTATTGCAACCTTCAGATGAATACCAGCCACACCAGCTGACAGTTTAATTGCCACGGTGCTTCCAAAGGAGGAAACAGTTGGCTGGCTTCTTTCTAATACATTGCAGCTTGGGCCAGGTTGGTAATTCTACTTTGCAGACTGTAAATAATCTCTTTGTTTGAAGCAATCTGTTTATTTTGGTGTGTCTTAATGATCAGCATACACAGCTTTCCACAACTTTCTCTTCAGTTCCCTTTCTACTCTTTCCTAGGAAAGGGTAGAAAAAGTGAAAAGGGAGTGTTTGAAAAGTCTTAAAAAATTTTTTTTGTGGGGGAGTTTCCTGGTTGTCAGTGGTTAAGAGTCTGCCTTCCAATGCAGGGGACAGGGGTTTGAGCCCTGGTTGGTGCAACTAAGATCCCACATGCCACAGGGCAACTAAGCTCACCTGTTGCAACTATTGAGCCCTCATGCTCTAGAGCCTGTGCTCCACAACAAGGGGAGCCTGCATACTGCAGTGAAGACTTAGCATAAGCAGAAAATGAAAAACAGGACAAAACCCCTAATTTGTAAAAATTGAAATATAGTTGATTTACAATGTTTTAGTTTCAAGTGTATAGCAAAGTGACTCAGTTATATATATATTTATTCTTTTTCAGAGTCTTTTCAATTATAGGTTATTACAAGATATGAGTATAGTTCCCTGTGCTATACCATAGGTCCTTGTTGGTTATCTGCTTTATATATAATGAGCTGATATGCTCAGGTGTGGCCGACTCTGCGATCCCATGGACTGTAGCTCGCCGGGTTCCTCTGTCCATGGAATTTTCCAGGCAAGAATACTGCAGTGGGTTGCCATTTCCTTTTCCAATATGTAATAGTGTGTATATTTTAATCTCAAACTTCTAACAAATTCCTTCTTGAAAATCCTTTAAACAAAAAGGATGTGTGTCTGAGGTTTTTAATAATCAAGTGTATGTCCTTTCAGAACTCATGGTGTGGATGAACCTGAATGGATTGCTCTGTTTACTTCCCTACAGTGTTGTGGAGCAAACGAGTGGGGATGTGGGGGAAGAAGAGAGAAAGGAACTGACTTCTACTGAGTGCCTCTAAGAACCAGGCACTGGGTAGGTACTTTGCAGATATTATCTCATTTAAGGCTCACAACAATCCCCAGAATTAGGTACTATAATATTATCTCACTTTATAGATGAGGAAATTGAGACAGAAAGCTCAAAAGACTTGCCCAACGTCACGAAGTTGGGATTCAGAGCTAGAATTTGAAACTGCCCACTGAGATCGGTACCTGATACAAATGGAATAATAATAATGAAATACTTTTATAGAAATAGGCTAGGAATGGAACTAAAACATGTCCAAAACACTCGAGGCATGTTACCTCTTTGCTAGAGCAAGGGCTAGCAAACCTTGAATTTTTTTTAAATATATAAATGCTCTTGCAGACTTTCCTGGTGGCACAGTGAATAAGAATCCACCTGCCACCTGCTAATGCAGGGACACGGGTTTGATTCCTGGTCTGGCAGGATTCCACATGCCTTGGAGCAACTAAAGCCTGGGGGCCACGACTACTGAGCCCACCTGCCTAGAGAAGCCACTGCACTGAGAAGTCCATGCACTGCAACAAAGAGTAGCCCCTGCTACTTGAAACTAGAGGAAGCCCACACAGCAACAAGGACCCAGCACAGCCAAATGTGTGTGTGTGTGTGTCAGTTGCTCAGTTGTGTCTGACTCTTTGTGACCCCATGGACTGTAGCCAGCCAGCCTCCTCTGTCCATGGGATTCTCTAGGTGGGAGTACTGGAGTGGGTTGCCATTGCTTTAATATATATATAATATTATATAAAATATATTATGTGTATATATATGTGTGTGTATATATATATATATTCTTTAGAGGTATTAGTGATTGTCACTTTTACATGAATGGGAAGGAATTTCAGATTCTGTCCAGAGATCAGTTTTGGTTAGAGGAAGAGACAACCCAGGGAACCTAGGGAGCCTTGGTACCAGGGGCTGGGAAGAGAGGGTGCATACAAAGTCAGAGAAGTAAAAAACCAGCTTACCCAATCCCATATTTGGCTTGGAATGGGTCCTTGGACTGAAACAGTATTTCAGTTCTCCAGCTAAAGGCCCAGGTGCCAGCACCAACCACAAACAGGGACTAGAAACTTAGAAGTAGGTGGAAACAAAAGGGAAAGAAAATAACAAAGAGTGAGCAAAGGTATTTCAGAAATTGAGGTAAAAATGACTTCCCAGGGCACACAGAAAGCCAGGAAACAGCAGTGAGTGATCCACAAGCAATGGGAAGAAGAAGCAGAATCATTTCATGGTTTTTTATTTTTGATGACAGTCTTGTCATCAAAAGTAAATGCTCTGTGTTGTCCTCTTCACCTTGATAGCCTCACTGTCCTTACAACACCCCTGGCGAGTTGGTCTTATTATTTATGTGGGGAAGCTGAGGGCCAGAGGGTAGAAGTACCATGTCCCAGGTCACCAGTTAACAGGTAAGACATGGTATACAGGTGTCCAACTCCATGGCTGTGCTGTTCCCACCAGCCCAGGCTGCTTCCCACATCCATCATTATCAAGGATCCAAGGAACCCAGAGAGATGAACAAATACAGTGGAAGCAACCTGAGCTGTAAAGCCAGCAGATCTGAGTTTGGATCTTGGCTCCATCACTCATTTTGTTGTGTGGGCTCAGAAAGTATTTGACCTTCTCAGCCTTCTTTCTGCCTAGTTATAGAAAGAGGGTGAGAGGTTCCCACCCCCATCCATGTTTTAGAATCTATTCATTTTTCACTAAAGTGAAGATGATGACAGTAATGATATAAATCTTAACAGTTCATATTTATTGAGTAATCACTCTGAGCATCTCTCATATATTAACATATTTAATCCTTATAACAGCTCTGTCAAGTAGGGATGATTTGATTTCCATTTTACTGATGAGAAAACACAGTGAAGTTAAGTTGCTCAGGGACCCCTAGGTAGTATAGTAAGTGGGAAAGTTATGTTTGGTAAGAGAGGCAGACAAAAATCCCTGGGGCCTGGGTTGTGCAGATCTAAAAGGGTTCAGAAGAGTTCGCCTTGTGCCACCACTGGGCCCTGCATGGTCTTCGCTCAACAGGTGGGAGGGAGTTCAACAGGTGAGGCTGACAATGAACAGTTTCTTCCTCTAGGTTCTCCCTGCCCTGGTTATTTCCTCTAGCGGCTTCTCTATCTCCAGCCTAGATTTCCTGCTTGCTGTTTTTCAGCTGCAGCCCCTGCAATTCAGTTCACCTCTCCTGCCAGGCTTTCTCTTTTCAGTCAGGTCTTGGTTCCATCAACTGTCATCAATCCCCATCACCGCATCCACAGACTCCAGTTTCCTGTCTTTTGCTCCTCAGGTTTCTCTCTTTCCAGGTACCCCGTCACTTCCCTGTGCTTACTTCTCAGGGCCAAATCTTGGGAGGCAGCTTACACTGGCTTCGCTCCCTAAACAGTTACTTCCAGGAGCATTTGGTCAGTGGGATGTGGCAGAGGCTGTAGGACATCTGGAAATCAGAGAAGGAGGGAGGTAGGATGTGATTGACCTTTAAGAGTACTTTGTCTCCGAGTGACTATTATAAACACAAAGATGGGGCTTCCCTGGTGGCTCAGTGGCAAAGAATCTGCCTACCAATGCAGGAGATATGGGTTCGATTCCTGATCTAGGAAGACCCCACATGCCGAAGAGCAACTAAGCCTGTGTGCCAAAACTGCTGAGGCTGTGCTCTAGAGCCTGGGAACTACAACTGCTGCAACTACTGAAGCCTGTGCGCCCTAGAGTCTGATCTCTGCAACCAGAGAAGCCACCGCAATGATAAGCCCACACATTGCCACTAAAGAGTGGCCTGCATAGCAATGAAGATCCAGCACAGCCAAAAACAAGTAAATAAATAATAATAAAAAGCCCTGATAAACACAAAGCTGATGTGTGCTGGGTCTGGATGGGAAAACAAAGTCTCAGGAATGTGCAGCTGGAGCACCTGGCCACACACAGTATGACCAGACTCCATGAGGAGCCCCCTATAAGACCCCAGGCCTTGTTGCTTCATGTTTGAATTCCAGGGGAAAATCCATCAATTTAAGACATTGGAAAGTAAACTGAGCCTCTACTGCTGACCTTCTTGCTGCAATGCAACTCTCTCCTCCCCTGTCTTTTGAATTTTAAGAAGCTACAGGTGATAGTAGTTAAATCATTGGATGATTAAATTGACTTTTTTTTTTTTTAAGTCTCTTTGATTGCACAGGGCAAACCTGCAAGAGTAGGGATGCAGAAAAACCCACACCTCCATGGCCTAAAAACAGGTTAAAAGACAGATGGAAACTTGTGACCCTACGTAACAAAGAAGTGCTGTGCTCACTGGCCCTGGAGCATTGCACACCGCAGCCGTGGTGAGTAGCTGATGAGATGCACACCCAACTTGAACATCAGACACCGCCAAGGCCCTGCAGCCTCGTCTCCCTGCTGTGCTGCTGCCATTTGCACCCTGTGGGTCCTTCCTGGAGGTGGAGCGACCCCTTCCCCTCCTCTGGGCCTGGGGGAGGGAGCAACCTGACTGATGACACCCACCTCCCCCAAAGCTCCTTTTAGAACGGGCTGTAGCTTAGCAACCCGCACCCGTGACAACTGATTTACTGGAGAAAATCTTGACTTTCTCCAAGTAGGTTTTCTTTTTCTTCCTTTCTTTTTTCTTTTCCTTCTTTTCAAACAATCAGACCTTGACTATGATGAGGTCCTTGTGGATTTCTCCCAGAGATGCTGATTTTACCTTGCCTGGCTTGCTTGGACTCCTGCATGGACCAGCTTTCTCCCCAGTCTTCTAGCTTCAGGTCTGACCCCAGTCCCTCCTCCATGTTGTAGCCAGATTACTCTTTCTAGAGTTCAGTTCTCATAGGCTTCCTCTCTTGTTTAAAATCCTTCAATAGCTCCCAGGAGAAGTATGCTCGCAAGACCATTCAGCAATGAGCCCTTGCCTCGTAGATGTTACCCATCCTTTGTCACGCCATCACATCCTCTGCCCCACTGGATTTTAACTTTTTCTTGCTTCCAGATCCTTGAATCTGCTGTTTCCTCTGCTTGGAAAGCCTTGCTTCTTCTTACTTACCTGTGAAATGTTCTTTGAGAATCAGCTTAAACTTTAGCATCTCTGTGAGCCTTCCCTGTCCAGTTCCCAGTCAGAACTGACCAGCCCTGTCTTTGCTTCAGAGGGTTATAGATGGAATTGTCCCTTGACTGTGAAATCCTGGAGGGCAGGGAGTAGTTCTCATCCTCCAACATGTGGCCAGTGCCCAACACAGTGCCTGACACATAGAGGGTGAGTCACATGTCACCAAATGTGTGAATGAGGGATACTGGAAAGAAGAAAGAGAGATGGAGGCAGAATAGGAGGAAGGGAGGAGGGAAGGAGAAAGGAAGGAAGGGAGATGTGATGGAAACAAGTGAGTTCGAACATCCAGAAGGCAAGACCCAAGGGTGTGGGGAAATGGAGCCCAGATGATGTCTGGCCTCCAGGATGAAAGTGGCTTCTCTTCGAGTCTTGGGACCCAAACTTATGGATCAAAGGCAAAGCCAGGTAGGCCTCCGGAGGCCTAGCACAGGTCCATGGTAAGGGAACATGCAAAGGCAAGCAAGCTGAGCCTGTTAACGTCCAGATCTCTCGCTCGCTCTGAATCACAGGGAGGCTGACACCACAGGGTTTGTGTCAGTGGTTTCTGACGGGTTGTTGGTGGGAAGCTGGGGCATTGTTGGCAGTGACTCTTTTGGGGTCTTGGGTACCTGCCAGATGGCCTGCTACTGTTCTGGTTTTTGGCAGGTCCCTGGGCTCAGGTAATGCTCTCTCTTTCCTCGTCCCACTGGCCCCTGGGGGTGATAGTTTCTTCCAACTGCTCAGGGTTGCCTTATCATCTCCTGATAGATTTACCAGCTCCTCTGTCACTCCTGTAACTAATCTCATGCCTTAAATAGATCCCCATTGTGGGACGTATTTGGTGCTTTCTGTTTTTTGGTTGGACCCTGACTAGTTGAGTTTTGTGACCCCACTGTAGGGAGTGAGGTCACTGATGTGCACCTTGGAGGACGTA